TTTCAGGGCTGGTCTGGGAGGACTTTTCCCACTCAGAGCCCCAAATCTCCAGCTCCAGCAGTGCCCAAGCTCCCCCTGACAGACGGTTCCGTGCCGTGGTGGGATTTCTTCACTTCTCTGCCCAGATTTTGTTCTTGCAAGAGAGGAGAAGCCAGAGCTGAGTGTCACCAGAGGCCAAACTCAGCCAGCCATAAACAAGAATTTGAGCCTGGAGTTTGGGAAGTCCCTCTGGGCAGGAAGACTCAGCCACGTTCTCTCTTGCTCAGGCTGGAGGAGCGGGACCTCTCCTGGGCAGCCAGGACATGGCAGGGCTGGCTCTGCCTGCTGCTCACCCAAACCTTCCTCTCCCAGAACAAATCCAGCTCATTTCTTTGCCAAACCCCTCTCCTGAAGTCCCCTTTGTCTGCGGTCTCAGTCGGCTTCTCAAGATGTTGGTATGAAGGGTGGAAGAAGTATCCTAAAGCGGAAAAAGTTTCCTCAGCTTTCATCCCTGCTTCATCCCCAGCAGGTTCTGCTGGAGAGGGTGAAGAAATGGGGAAGTTTTCTTGCTTTTCAGCAGCCAGAGCTGCTCTTGAGGCTGGCAGTGTGTGTGTGGGTGTGTGCCTGGGAGCAAGGAGGTCCTCACCATCCACACGGAGTCATAGAATAGGCTGGAAAAGACCTTTCAGATCCTCCACTCCAACGTTACCCTGACTCTACCCAGCCCACAAGTCTAACCCATGTCTCTAAGCCAACATCAAGCTCCCTCATTTCGTCGACCAGCTTGGGTGGCTAAAATTGGGTGGTCAACCCCCTCCTAGACCTCCTTGACCCTCACTGAGCTCGCGGGACCTTCACGGGAACCTTTGGTGGCGTTTTTTGGGGTGAGGATGGACACCTCTGGGGCTGTGGAGCTGCTGAAGCCTCCCAAGCCCTTCTCATACCTTGGGTTGTGTGGACATCTAGAGGCCTCGCCAGGAACGGCACAAGAAGGAGCTTCCTCCACCCACCCACCCCCTTGGGCAGGGTGGTTGGGTGGATGCCACAGGCGGCAGACTCGTGATCCCACCGTGCAGCTTATTTCTATTTTATTTCATCTTTTTCCCCCTCGGATCTGAGGTTATTTTTCATGCCAGATGAGGAGGAACAGGAGGGAACGTTCCACCCTGAGATGGGCCCGTTCCAGCTGCTGTCCCCATGCCCGGAGGAAGCCGAATCTGACCCTGAACTTATTGGAGGAAGTTCTCGCCTTGTCCTGAACGTCTTCCCAAGGAAACGTGTTGGAGTTTGGCAGGAAATACGTCGAGGAAAGAGCTTGGAAGACCTGCCTGGGATCTGGAGAGCTCTGGTTTGGAGCTTGGCACCTCCAGCTCCCGCAGCCGTGTGCCCTCCCTGCTGCCAAACTTGGCCACCTCTAATGACCAGGCTGCTTAATGACCCAGAGAAGCTGCTGCTAATGAAGATTCAGGTTTGGTGACTCTACACTTCGTGCCCCAGGGCTTTGGTGTTTCTCTGACGAGCAGAACTCAGCGTGGGAGGGGATGTGAGAGGAGCAGATTGTCCCAGGCTTCTCACAACCTCTGACAACCACCCAGCGGGGCAGACAAACCCCAGGTCTGATCCAGACTTGGGAATTCCTCTACTCCAACCACCCAGCTTGGGCATCTGGATTCAGAACAGCCCAAACTGGGCTTGCTGTTGAAGCCACTGGTGTCTTTTTTAGCAGGTGACAAATGCTTGGAAATGGAAGGGCTCAGTCCCAAGTCTCCTGACGTCAGTGGAAATACTCTGGTTGACATCAGCAGGGCTTGGATCCCTGCCTACGTTCCGCTCCTTTCTTTCAGCCTGCAAGCTGGCCAGGGTGGGAAGGTCCCTTTTCTCCTGACAGACTTCAGCAGGTCTTCACGAGGTCCTCTGCAGCCCTCACGTGAAGGATGTGTTATGGAATGACCTGGAGAACAGGCACAAACTCATCCAACGCCCTGCACCTTCCTTCAGCGGTGCTGGATCCCGGCCAGGCTGCAGCTCAGGTTTAAGCTGAGCTTAAAAAACACTGTCTGGCGTGTAAAGGAGGTGGTGGCCTTGGCCCTGACGTGCTGTGACTCCCCAAAACCTGCTCCAACCAGAATTAGAGCCTCCGTGAGCTGCTCAGGATGGTTCAGCTCAGCTTTATCCAGAGCGTGCTGGCCAAAGTCCTCTCTCCAAGGAGGATCTGGATGATTCTCTTTAGTGGTATGGCTTCGTTTTGGGTGGTCCTGCAAGGTGCAGGGAGTTGAACTGGGTGGATTGCTTCCAACCTGAGATACTCTGTGATTCTCGTGGGCTTTGGGGTGTGTCAGGTGGATGGTGGGTGAAGGGTCTTGAGTCCACCTTCCAGAGGTGGACCCTGGAGACTCTGTTCTTCTGTTGAGTGGCAGCAAAGCCCTCAGAGCCCAGTTCATTGCCAGCTTCCTGGGTGGGACCTTTGTGAGCAACGTGGGAAGAGTGAGTTCTGAGTAACAGGCCTCCAGGGTTAGAAGTCACCATGCTGTGATACACGTGGTGGGCCAGGCTCTGGGGTTTTGGGCCCCTCTCTCCCAGAAGGAGCTTGAGGGGCTGGAGCGTGGGCAGAGAAGGGCAACGGAGCTGCTGGGGAAGGGTCTAGAGGCCAAGTGTGGGGAGGAGCAGCTGAGGGAGCTGGGGGTGCTGAGCCTGGAGCAAAGGAGGCTCAGGGGAGACCTTCTGGCTCTGCACAGCTCCTGACAGGAGCCTGGAGCCAGGGGGGGGTCGGGCTCTGCTCCCAAGGGACAAGGGACAGGATGAGAGGAACCAGCCTCAAGCTGTGACAGAGGAGGTGTAGGTTGGACATTGGGAAAAATTCCTTCACCAAAAAGATTGTTAATTCTATAGAACCATCAAATTGTTCTGTCTGGGAGAGACCTTTGAGATGATTGAGTCCAACCATCACCCCAGCAGGGCCAGGTCCCCCCTGCCCCGTGTCCCTCACCCCACATCTCCACAGCTTGGGAACCCCTCCAGGGGTGGGGACTCCACCACTGCCCTGGGCAGCCTGGCACAGCCCTGGGCAACCCTCCAGGGCAAGAAACTCTTCCTCAGCTCCACACTGACCCCGACACCGTTTCTGGTGGTTGCACCTCGTGGCTCCATGCTGGTGAGGAGCTGCAGCCTCTTGGAGGCTCCTGAGGGTTTCATGCCTGAGGAGAACGTTGCTCCCCAGGGACCTGCAGCCTCCTGCAGAGCTGTGGAGTGCAGCAGTGGGGCCGGCTGGTTTCTTCTCCTCCTTCAGCTGGGGTATATATAGACCACAAAGTGCTCCAGAGCAAAGGGAGCAGTGGGTGGAAGGCAAGATATTCTTATCTTCACCTGCTGCTGCCGACCAAGGGAATAAAGAGACAGATGACAGGAAATGAGGACCTCAAAAATAGACACCTTTAATGTCAAAACCTCCAGGGATTAGTGAGAGCACCAGATGAGAAGCAGAGGAGCCCTCACGTTAGTCACCATCTGCTTCGAGGGCCCCTCGGTGGAGGAAACGTGCTGAGAGAGCTCAGAAACATCTCCAGATTTCTGCAAGAACCAGAGGGGAAAAAACTGACCAAAGAAGCTGCAGAGATACCAAAATGTGAGGGGTCAAACCTCCCTGTGTGGCTCGAGGGGTCCTCTGTCCCTGGGTGAGCCGTGGATCTTCAAGCTCCCTGCCCAAACCCTCCCCGTGTCTCAAGGCTCCTCTCACAGCTCCAGGGGGCAGGGATGGCAAAATTATTGCTGTGAGCCCGGCTGATTAGGGGAAAAAAGAGGAGTCTGAGGATGGAAAATATTTCTTAGCATCTAGAACTCTTATCTGCTTTGCTTAAAACCTCTTTGATATATTAGACCTCTCATTGGGCCACCTTTTTGTGTTGATGTTGGAGCTCTCCTGCCCTTCAGCGTGGCCACGTGGCTCGTTGCCAGCTCCACCTTGGCCTTGCTCATTCTCTTTTGCCAGTGAAACCCACAGTTGGGGTTGGATTTGAGGGGGTTGGTGACCGTGGCGAGGCAGAGGAATTCCAGAGGGTGTTTTTCCTCTCTGAAACTCAGCGCTGGTCCAAAGTCCAGACCTGGTTATATCGAGTCCTAGGCAGGTGCCAAGTCAACAAGGGAAAATAGCAACAGGAGCTCGAAATGTCGGAGCCCTGACGCTCTGCAGCTCCTGGGGCTGGAAATCAGCACGTCAGTGATGCAGAGAGAGGAGAACACAGCATGAAACCCTTGTTTTCTAGCTCAAAAATCCCCAACCTTGCTCAAAATGCCTCGATAACCTCTTCGTGCCTTGCTTCACCCTCACAGTGAGTCGGTAGCAGCTGGGTCATGTTGCCCCAAAGCCACCAAACAACGTTTTTTGACTGCTAAAAACTGGGATCTGGGCTTTGAGCCTCTTATTTCTGTATCTGTAGGGTCCCTGAGTGAAAGTCTGCTGCAGTGACACCAGGAGGAAGGTGCAAAGCGAGTCTGTGGAAAGGTTTTTGGGGGGCAGAGAGGTTTTCTGAACATCTCTTCACCCCGTGAGTTTCTTTTGCTTTGGCACAGCTGCAATGTCTTCATCTCTAGAAGGCAGAAAGGCATCAGAATCCAACAGAAAACACATCGTGACCCGCCTTGAGGGGAGGAACCAGCTTCAACTGGTGCCATTTGTGTGAGGACGTTGGATGCAAAGTGGTATCTCCCCATCATTCACCTCCTGCTCCAAAGCTCTGGGTCTCTCATTCCTCGTTGCTGCTGAGGTCACAGAGGTTGGAAGGGACCTTAATGATCATCTTGTTCCAACCCTCCTTCCACGGGCAGGGACATTTCCCTCTAGACCAGGTTGCTCCAAGCCCCATCCAACCTGACCTTGAACACCTCCAGTGATGGAGCAGCCACACCTTCCCTGGGCAGCGTGTTTTGGGATCCCTCCTGCTCTGCACAGAGCCAGCCCCTCCCTCAACTCACCCCTCTGGACCACCCGGATGCGTCCCTCCTGCTCCACAGAACCCCAACAAGAGTTAAAAGTGCCACGAAACACCCCAAAGACCAGCGAGGACGAGGAGGAGGAGGACGAAAGAAGGAGAAACACTCGGGCAACCCGCCCCAGCTTGGAAGATGTGCAATTTCTCCACGTTGGGCAAGAAGACCCTGGCATCCTCCAACGCCCCGTGAGCCGCCATGGTGAAGTTGGCATCCCCGGAGGTCACCACGTCGAAGACGCACGACTGGAAGTAGACGTCCTCCACGGGCAACATCTCCTTGCAGAGAGCCCGGGCGGCTTCGGCCGCGGCGGGGCCCGGGCAGCAGGGGCTACGGGAGATCCGTTGGCTTTGGGGACATCCCCCCACGCAGAGCTGAAGGTCTTGCTCTTGGGGGAAGGCCTCGGCCACCTCCTCGGCGGCGCGGATGGAGAAGGAGAGCTGGCGGCCCGCCTGCCGGACGGCGATGGTGGTGCCGATGTAACGGGCGCGGATCTCCACGTGCCTCCCGGGGCTGAGCTCCCTGATGGCCAAACTGCTGCCCCCCGGCCTCTCCCCCCCGTTGGTGGAGCCGTCCTCGAAGGCTGCTGGGAGGTTGTCGAGCTCAGCTTGGTAGACTTTCTGGTCGATGCATTCCTTCATGTTTTTGAAGATGATGGTGAGCTGCGGAGAAGGGGAGGGGGGTGGTCGGAGAAGGATGGGGTGGTTTGAAGGGTGAGGGAGGGGTTGAGGGGATTTGTGGGGTTTGAGAGGGGTGGCTGTGGTCCCAGCCCAGGTATCAGCTATGGGGAGGGGAAAGCTGATGGGACAGATCTGCCTCATCCCCCCTCTGCCCCAAACCACGTCTCCCACATTTCCACAGTCCTTGGGGGGAAGCAGGAGTATTCCTTGTTTCCTTCTTCCTTCTTTCCTTGCTTTGTGCTTTCTGTAAGCCACTGAAAACTGAGATGGAGCCAAGGCTCCATGGAGGTAACCCATGGACCACACGCTAACCCATCTCCAGGCAGCAATGGAGAGGGTTTGAAGGTCTTGGCAAGGTCTTTGCCTTCACAGAATCATAGAATCCCCAGTTGGAAGACACCTCAAGAATCAGCCCCTTCTCTGGAGAGATCCCAAACCCTCCTGGCCGCCATCCTGGGCACCCTGAGTGACCCCGCTGGAGCAGAGGGGTTGGACAGGATGATCCCTAGAGATCTCATCCAACTCCCATCGTGCCAGGATTGGGGAATTCTGGGACTGGTGCCCACTTCAGCCATCTCAAGGAGCCACCTAAGCCACCCCATCACCCCGAAGGCAGCTTCACCCCCCGACCCTACCCACCTTGCTGGTGACCGTGGCGTCGGACCCTTCGGCCACGGGCGAGCTGGTGGCTTGCACAAACAAGTAGTCGTTGTCCAAG